TCGTGAGTTCGAGCCCCGCATCGGGCCCTGTGCTGACAGCTCAGAGCATGGAGCCTGCTTCCGATTCTGCATCTTCCTCTCTCTCTCTGTCTCTCTCTGCCCCTCCCTCTGATTGCTGTCTTTCTCAAAAATAATAAACATTAAAATTTTTTTAATTAAAAAAATAGAAGTTCTGTCTATCCCCATCTCTATGAAAATATGCCCCATCTCACACTGGGGTGACCAAAATCAAGAATCCAGGATCTTTGTTTCACTAGCCAGTGGGGGTTGTTTCTGAGAGGGAGTAAGAACAGAATCTGCCTGAAAATGCCCCCCATTACTTGTTTGTCACAAGTTAACACTTCATATATCCAGTCCCATTCACTAGCTTTCAGACCTAGCATGGTGTTGAGAGGGGATGATGGAAAAGGAATCAATGTATCAAATCTGGTTCTGGTCTCACTCTTCGTACGCAACAGTTTTCTGACTTTGGTTGGGCAGGTTACTCAGTTCCTCTGAGGCTTGATGTATCTATAAAGTGAGGGTGGGGTGGGTGTGAGAATCTCTGCACCACAGGGAGTATAAAAATTCAGGGGGTTAATATATGTCAAGTGCTTAGCTCGCGAGAGGTCTATTTTAAGGTAGTTTTAGTTTTAAAATACGTTCACAAATCCTTTAACAACTATCCAGTCGAAAGGTACAGTCTATGTCCCCAGTATCGCTCCAAATATAAGTAGCAGAGTACCAGAGCCCGGGACTGAAGCTGACCTGGAAAGTTCTGGGATGGGGATGCGGGTTACGTGCGCACGTGCAAATGTGTGACTGGTCTATCGGTTTCCATCGCTGTTGTCCCACATTACCACAAAACTTAACAACTTACAATCCCACCCCTTTATAAGCTGACAGTTCTGGAGGTCAGAAGGCCAGCCACAAACATAACTGGGTTTTCTGCTCAGCCGGGCTGAGTTCTCATCTGGGGACTCGGGGGGAAACTCCAGAGCTCATCCTTGCTGTCAGCAGAGTCCAGGTCTTTGAGGTTGTAGGAGTGAGGCCCCGTTTCCTTGCTGGCATAGGGTCAATTGAAGGCGATTTAACATAACGCGTCTGCACGGTGCATGCGGTTTGGGGGGCAGGGAATCTGGGGAGTTATTTGACAATTCTGTCCACAACAGGTAGGACAGCTGCTTCACCTAGAGGCTCCTCAGAGCCAATTTTCCCAGCCACCCGCTGTAACTTCAGGTGACCTTGGCAAAGAGAGGTGGAAGGGACAGTGTGTGTGACGCTGATGGGGAAACGCAGGGCCGTGACCGGGAATGTCTAGTGGGGATTTGCTGTCCCAGTACTTAGTACGTCACACGAACCAACCTCCATTGTCTGCATTGGAAAGGGAATCCTCGTGGGTGAGTACCCTGCCCAATCTGTTGGTGGAGCAAAGTCCTGTGGCTGCAAAGACCCGAGCATGACTGTTGAAGACTGGCAAAGCCTGTGTGACTCTCCTGCCCGTCTGCCATCGCTCCACTTCCCCCCGACAGGCTGGTGCTGTGCTGCGTGGCGTTTACCAACACAGGATCATCTCTCATCTGGATTGTTACAGTAGCCATCTTCTCCAGCCACACCGGCTTGCTGATGTTCCTCCTTCAGCCAAGCACTCCTGCCTCAGGACCTTTGTACACACTGATCTGTCTTTCTACACTGCCGTCTCCCAGACTTCCACAAGGCTCACTTCCTTCAGAGAGCTCTGCTCAGGTGGTATCTTCTCAGGGACATCTCCCTCGATCGCCCTCCATAAAATTGCACACCCTTTGCATTCCCCGTCATTTTGGTTTTCTTCCATGGGCTTACCAACATGTGGCATTGTATCTCTACGTTTTCTTGTGTATTTGTGTGTCTCTCCCCACTACACCATGACCTATACCAGGGCAGGCTCTGTTTTTTTCACCGCCGTGTCCCCCAGCCCCTAGAACGGTCCCTGGCACGCAGCGGGTGGATGAACGTGCTGTGGGTACATTCGGTGAACAAAGAGGTGGATGAGAAAAGATCCATTAGGGTCTTGCCTTTGGAGGAATTCATAGCTAGGTGGCAGGAGAAAAGGCAGATACGAACAGATCTTTGTGGTGTCACATTGTGGGGTGCTGAGGGCGCCGTGGGGAGGGGCCAGGACAATCAGAAAAGCATTCCCAGAGCAGTGACGTTTGAGCTTGTGTTGTTGCATAGGAAGCGACTGGGGAGAGAAGGAGGGGTTCTCACCCCTCCCCTTGTCCCTCTGCCTCAGTCACACTGGCTGATGGCTGTCCTCAATCCCGAGGAGCAAGGAAAGAGGCGCTTAAAAGGAAGAGGAAGAAGTCACCTAAAGTCTCCGGTTCAGGTGCTTGCGGCCCATGTGCTTCCTGGAACCAATCACTGAGCCAGGAAGATGGAGCGTTGTCATTGGCCAGGCCTGGGTCACGTGCTCCCCAGGAACCCGGGTTGGGGAGGACATCCACTCTTTTTAATCACAGGAGGACGGAAAAGGATGGTTTGGGGGCTGTTTCCACGTGGGGAAACAAATGCTGGCAGGCAAAACACTGTTATCACTTTTGTTTTTCCTACTTCCCTCTTTTCACATCCCCCATGGCCATAATCTCTGTTCTGGTCTCAGTTTTCCTGTACTCCGGACTTTGTTCTGTGTCCAGGCCAGGGCCATACCACTCGACAATGGGGGGGGGGGGGCGGTGCACGCAAGAGAGATGAAGGGAGAGTGTGTGTGTGTGTGTGTGTGTGTGTGTGTGTGTGATGTGGGGGGAGCATCTGGACGTGCTGAGGGTGTAAAGTCGTCCCAGCTTCCACATAGTGACTAGGCCCCCAGTACCAACAGATCAGGCTTCACATACAAACCGTTAGGTAGGCTTTCTAGTTATTTACTGACAAGATCATTTCTTCAGGAAGAAGATCCTATATTCAGAACAACCGAACTATTAAAGGAGAAAGCAACTCGTGTAGTGCTTTAGTCTGTGCCGGCTGCTATCACAAAACACAGACTGGATGACTTCTAAATAACAAATTTATTTCTCACAGCTCTGGAGGCTGGAAGTCAGATCTGAGTGCCACGGATGGGGGGGGGGTGCTTTTCTGGGTTGTAGACTCTCGTATCCTCACACGGTGGCAGGGGCTAAGGATCTCTCTGGGGCCTCTGATGAGGGCACTGGTCCCATCCATGAGGGCCCCACCTTCGTGGCCTCATCACTTCTCAAAGGCCCCACCTCCTAACACCATCACTTTGTTGTTTTTTAATTGGAGAGAGAGAAAGCATGAGCTGGGAGAGGGGCGGAGGGAGAAAGAGAGACTTTTAAGGCATAGAGCCCTACACGGGGCTCAATCCCACAACCCTGGGCATCGTGACCTGAGCTGAAATCAAGAGTTGGATGCTCATCTAACAATCCTTAAGGACTTTTAGGATTTTGAAATCATAGAAAATTTAAACATATACAATTATACCATGGTTCAATCGTAAGCAAAAGTTAATCTCAGCACAATACTTGAATAACATATTTATTCTAAAATGTGTTCCTAATTATTCTCTAATATAAGGTATTTCATCTGTTATTGATGTATAACACAGAGGAAACTTTACCAAAGACTCAGATCAATGAATTCTCATGAGGTTAAGACACCATGTAATTGCCACCCAAATAAATGGCTTTCAATGTAAAAAAAGCCCACATCCAACTACAGAAGAATTTTCTTTTTGTTCTCTGAGACAGCAGTTCCCTACATCTGGAGTCTGTATGCTCCTTGAGCTACCTAAACTGATGCCCGCGAATAGCTACCAGAATGCCACGTATACCATCAAAAGAAAATAATCCAACTCCTGGGGATCCTTGCAAATTATAAACTGTTGTTCAGTGCTGGGGATTTTTACATTAATTAGCAATTAATGTTTACAAGTGTTTTGGTAGCATGAAATATTTTTGGTAAAAAAACAAGAGTGTATTTATGACTGTGTACATGTTTCCTTTCTTTTGGAAACTACTACTATGGGTTTCCTTGGCTGCATCAGCTGGTCTTGATTCCAATTTGCACGAGGTTAAAGATAAATGTAGGTGGAAAGCCCTACATTACCAGCGATGCGGCTTTGTAAATGTTGCCAAAATGATGGTAGCAGCTACACTGTGCAAATCTTACTTTTTAGATGATTACTTTTTAAATAGCTAAAATACTGAGGCCATCTGACTGATGTATATAGTAGGCTAAGGGGAGCCCTGGAGGTCCTGTGTGGGCACAGACCAATTAAGTTGAGCACTCAGTGAAATTGCTTTCTCAGCCAGGATGGAGAATGATTGATCACAAGTCAAACCGTACACATGTCAGGCTGAAAGAGTTTACAGGTAAATTTGGCCCAAGGCCATTGCCACTTCATTTCGCTGGCTGAAACACTTCAAGTGGTCAAGTGAGTGGGGGGAAAGCCACTTAATTCTTTGCGCAATGAGATCCTCCGGCGGGGTCTTGCGTTGGTTTCCATTACGGTATGGAGGTAAGAAAGACCAATTTCTGGTCTTCATATGCAATGACGGGGGCTGGGAGGTCTGTCTATAAACAAGTGGTTCTCAACCCCAGGGAACGTTGGAAATTGCTGGGGAGTTCAAAAAAAAAAAAAAAAAAGATCCAGATCCTCAGGACACACCCAAGACCAAAATACCTGACGGAAGTGGAGCCCAGGCATCAAGCACGTTTTATCAGGTAATTCTACGCGCAGCTATGGTAGACGACGCTGGGCAAAGAGTTCGAATCGGTAGCAAAGCCTCCTCCCTCTGCGGAAGGTTTCTGAGACCAAACTTCCAGGAGGGTTGGGGTAATTTCAGCCAGGTCCGACGTCAAGCGTTGGTAAGTGACTTGACCATGCCACCTAGCAAACGCTTAGTATTGACATTCACGCACGTCTCCTTTGGAGGTTCCACCCCGCCCCGTGAGCCGAAATCACGGATCAAGCACGCGAAACTCCTAACCGCCCCACTCCCGACCGCGGACGTCTTCTCCACTGGTGCATGGATCAAGAGCCCGGAAGATGCGCGGGCTGCGCGCGAGCGCGTCGAGGGCTGAGGGTTGGGTATGGCGTTAAGGTGCCGCGCGGGCCGCGGGGCGGTGCTTTCCGGAAAGTCGAGGCGGAGGCGGGGCCCGCGCGCACGCTGGGGCGGAACCCGCACTGCGACCGATCTCGACCTGGCCAGACTTCTCCACCTGCTCCACCGGTGCAATGGGTCTGGCACGTGTTCCTCACGGCTCTCCCAGGTAACCCCCGCTGCTGCTGGCTCCTAAGCCCCTTGGGTGGGGGGGGCAGCCATGGTGGCAGGGTGGGGCGTTCTGCCTTTGGGAAGGGGGCGGCAGGCCCAAGTTCCTGCAGCTGGTCCCAAAGTCCTCAGTGAACAGCCATGGGCCCCGTGGACCCTTCCCCAGAGAACGTGATTTGGGTACAAAGATAGGGGCTAGAAATGAGGCTGGCAGGCTGGTAAGAAAAGTAGCTGGGACATAGGCATGGGCTTTTACGAAGGCATTAAAGGGGCGCGGGGTTCAATGGCAGCAAGCCCATGGGCGTGAAAAAGAGTTCCAAGATGCGCGCACACATGGTATTGCAGGATGCCTGGGCGGCCGTGATTGACGGGAAGGTGCCTGCTCTGTGATGGCCACGCTGCCGCTACGGTGGCTCTGGCCTACCATCTGTAAATACCAATGAGGAAGCAAGGTTTTCTCCGAATCGTAGTGAAACTGGAAGATGAGGACTTCCACTCTAGTTGCTCCTGCAGGTGAGTGCTGGGACCTGGTGTGCTCCAGGAGCCCTCCTGGTATCCTGTGGCCTGTGGCTTCAAAACATCCCCTCAAATCTTATGGATCCTGATGGGAGAAGTGTGCTCACGCGGAAGCTGGAGGAGGAGACGCTTTTTATTTTTTATTTATTTATTTTTTTAAATTTTTTTTTCAACGTTTATTTATTTTTGAGACAGAGAGAGACAGAGCACAAACGGGAGGGCAGAGAGAGAGGGGAGACACAGAATCGAAACAGCTCCAGCCTCATTATCAGCCCAGAGCCTCGACAAGGCCTGAACTCACGGACCGCGAGATCGTGACCTGGCTGAAGTCGGACGCTTAACTGACTGCGCCACCCAGGCGCCCCGAGGAGACGCTTTTTAAACCCAACGCCCCACACGTGTATCCGGCGTGACTCAGGAAGGTGGTGGCAGCATCAGATGGGCCAAGGCAGAAAGATGGGTTGATTGGAGCAGAGAAAGTGATTTATTTCGTCAGCTCCTTTGCAAGGTGTGCCTAATGTTTAAGTGAACTGAGAGCTCCGGCATCACAGATTGTCATTCTGGGCCTAGAACCCTCTTTCGCTTTATTTTAGTGGTTATGTGTTGCCCAAGTAGCAAAGGGCATACTTAGCATTGTGGACTCCAGAATGTTCTTTTTACCAGGCAATGGAGGCGCTGTGAGGAGACCGGTTTGAGAGATTTCTAACATCCAGAGTACTCCCTAATACTGCAAAAGACTGTCTTCTGAAAATTGATTCGTCAGTCCTTTATTTGAACCTGGGAACGCTGTTCTCTCAGCAGGCTGGCCTCAAGACATCTATGTGTTTCATAACAGAAGTCATCTGTTGTTGTGATAGGATCTGCCTGGCTCCTGGAGGTGGCTGGGGACAGAGAGGTGGGCCAGATCAATGCTGGTTCTTCTTCATGTCCCCTTTTTTAATAAAAGTTCCATGTACACACAGTTGAAAGACAAATGATTCTACAAGATAGCTTGCCTAAGCCTGTCCTAAAAACCGCTCACCTTCTCTTTCTCTCCATCTTCCTAATGTAGTTATAGTGTAATTTTGATTAGCCCAGTACAGGTAAAAACTAATCACAGAAGAGCCATGTAGTTAGTAATCTATAATTTTCTTTTCCTTTTACACACAAGTCCTCTCCCCCCACCTTTGGAGTTATTGTCTGGTTTTTTTCATAGTTTCTTTCTCTCATCAACTTAGTCTCAAACTCTGCCTGCTATCTAAATCTAGTCCACATATTCAGATCATCAGGTAATGTGTCTTTTCAAAGAGGTCACGTTTTGTTGTATATGCTCAGTGCTCTGCTTGCGTCTCCTTGACACTTAATGTTTTTCCCAGCTGTCCAACCTGTGACCCATCTTAGAGGGCTTTCTCTGATTCTCTGATTTCTCTAGATTCTGTACCTGTGTGCAGAGCAGGCCCGACGGGCCAGGGAATTCCTGTCCCCCAGGAGCAGCCTCCAACCCATGAGAGACGGGAGTCGGTGGATAAACTCTCTACTTCCTCAGCCCTCAGGCAGGAAAACTGAGTCACGTGCCCAAAACTGTCTCCCAGAGTTCCCCAGTGGGATTAGCTATCCGGCGGAGGTAACTTGCGTGATAATGCAGTTACTTCCCTTGGAGTCTTGGAGGTCACTTTCCAGATTAAACTTCCTGCCCTTGAATCTTTTATCTCAGGGTCAGCTTTATGAGAGAAGTAGAACCAAAAGGTTTCTGGAGCTTTCTGACCTGCCCTTCTTGCCTGTGTGTGGTATGGAGCCGTCATTTTGGGGTCTCCTTCAGCATAGGTTACCTCTTCGTGTAGACAGCTCTAGGGTAGTAGCTTAATTGATGGAGATGAAAAATTAACTGAAAGATGATTTTTTAGAGCTGATCAGGAAGGGGCTTGAGCCAGCACCGGTGTTCTGCCCAACATGCAGGACACAAAGCGTCCCCTTTTATCACAGCTGCCCCACGTTATCTTCTTCAAAATGTAGTATTTTTTTTTTCTTACGTTAAGAGTAATACCCACTTACTATTAGACCAGAAAAAAAAAAAAAATCAAAGTTTTAGAGAAGAAAGTGACAATCACATGGAATTACAACACACAGAAATAAGTGCTGTAAACTTTTCCATTTCCGTCTCAACATTTCCTGTAGATAATACACTTCACTTTTTTTTTTTTTTAAAAGCATAATAGGATAATGCTATATATATATGCCTGCTGTGTCTTAACCTGCTTTTTCTCTGTTTATCATTGCCATATTGCGGTCTGTTTTCTGTGCTAATAAAGATAGGTAAACAGTATTCTCTGTAAGGCCCATATGGCATTCATGCATATTTGTATGTCGTTATATACATGATACCGTAATTCACCACTCCCTTACTGGTCACCATATAGGTTGCTCTCTATATTTTGGTATTATCATGAAAACTGACGTAAAACCCCTATTCCACGTATCTTTGTACTGTCGTCAGACTCTTGCTGAAGGTGAATTCCTAGACACAGAATTGCTGTGTGCTGCGGAAGGCACGTTGAAGTCGCCCTTCAGAAAAGTACCAACTTACATATCCACCAATGCCACTGGCCCGTATTAACCAGGTTCTGCCGGGACTTTGCTAAACAGCAGGTACTGGGGCACAGAGCTGGGATGAAAACCCTACACGGTTCTCTTCCAGCCCCAGTGAGCACGTGGCTGGGATCCCCTTGGGTTGGTGTTCCTGGGCCAGAAGGCCAGCCGCCATCGTTTGTTAGTGTGAATTAGGAGGAGAGGTTTATTGAGTAACAGTTCATGGTTTATCTCATACAAGCTTAAAAGGTTTCTTGGGGAACCCTGATGACTCTGAGGAGGCAGCCATAGAAATAATATGACTTTACAACCCTGTGGTATCTCAGAATAGTCTATTGCAGGCTTGCCGGAGGATTTCCATTTTTTCCATTTTTGATAACCGTGATGCCACTGACTTAAATGTCTATGGAGCAAGTCATGGATACACACAAAGGCACCTGTTAAATTATATGGTCCTTACTAATTGTGTAACCTCGGGTAACTCACCCATCCCCTCTGGGCCTCATCTGTAAAATAGAGACAAGAACGGTAACTGCCTGAGAGGGTCGTTGTCAGGATGGAACCCAGGAAATGCTTGTGAAGCCTGCTAGATAACGTGCCTGGCTCCACGGTGTCGGTGATTCCCTGTTGGTACCTGTAAACACACCCGAGTAGTTAACAGGCCAGGTGGATGGGGGTGGAGGTGATAGGTTGTAAGTGGGGAAGGCGTTGGGGGGCAAGCCAGAGGAACCGGGAGAACAGCGGAGGAGGTCATAGAAGGGGCTGCCGACCTGATCGGATCGCTCTTGTGAGAAAGTTTGAAGATTGCCATTTCTGGTGGTGGTAGTGGTATTTAAGGGACGCTTTTCTGGGAGACACAGCAGTGTTAAGTCCATGGAGGAGTGAAGGGATTTTCGCGGGTAAGCGTACGTCCAGAGTGTTGGGAAGGTTGAAATCCTAGTTTAAAGTGCCCAGCCTTCGACCCAAGCATGACCAGTTTTGCATCCTGGTGAGAGCGTGGCCACCCAAGGAAGAGAGTAAACTTAGTTCCAGAAGCTTGTCTCAGAGGGTGCGGATGGCACTCGGCTGTCACCAGTAAGCCGCTCAGTTGGTTCTGGGATGGTATGTGTGACAAAATTAATAATGTTTCAGAATTTCAAAATAAAACTTTAAGATCCCATTCATATTTTTAGTATGCTTGAAATTGAAAAGTTTTAACACCTGGAACAATCAAAATGAAAGTGAATTAATATTCATAAAATTCCTTTGCAGCCCATTTCTCTCCCCCACTGTGATTGCTCTCAGGCCTTGAGTGCTGTTCCCTCCAGCAAGGGGGTGGTTCCTAATGGATTTTTTGTTGTTTTTTTGTTTTTCTTTCAGGAGTTGGGAAAACAACATTGATCCAGAAAGCCAGTGAGGTTTTAAAATCCTCTGGTGTGCCTATTGATGGATTTTACACAGAAGAAGTCAGACAGGCAGGGAGAAGAATAGGATTCGACGTTGTCACCTTATCCGGCACGCGGGGAGTTTTGTCTAGAATTGGGTACTGACATTTCATTTCTATGATGTTTTATTCTCCCTGGGCACAGGATCGAGCCAAATAATCTCTGATCCCTATCTTGAAGAATCTTGGGCCTTTGCGGATTTCTCACAGAAAGAAAACAGACTTTGAAACCACGATATGAAAAACAAAGTACAAAGATAGCATATTTCACTTAAAACTTACTCCACTGAGTACTAAATTTTTATCATTTTGTAATTCGTCATCCTGTTTCTTGTGCTACTTTTCCAAGATAGTTGGGGCGCTGCCTCCCTGTAGCTTGGGGATCGGCACCCCCAGGGGTAACTTCCAGGGCTGGTGGCGGTGGCGTGGTGGGCATACTTGTTGGAAACCCTGTTCTCAGGAGACGGCACGGCATCAGGTTAGCTTTGCATACTACCGCGTTTTGTGTAGGTGATGTCTCGGTGATTTAGCATATGTCGAAGGGCCAGAGGCTCAGTGGCGTAGCTGCAAACCAGAAATCAATACAGGGGTCTTTTCAACAAATGCACTGTTTCTTTATTCAGCTCAGAGCCTCCACCTGGAAAACGCGAGTGCCGAGTTGGGCAGTATGTGGTGGATCTGACTTCCTTCGAGCAGTTGGCACTTCCGGTCTTGAGGAACGTAAGTGTGTGATTTCTGCTTCTTGAGCCCATCTCTTCTTGGTGCTCCTGGGAACAGAGTGGTTTTGCTCCTAAGGAGCGGCCAGTTTTGCATTTTACAATTTAAAAGTTTTCAAGTGACTGAGCTGTAAAGAAGGTATGCACCGTAATTTGATGTCACTATGAACTACAAATAAATTCCTCCTCACCCAAATTTAGCCCATGGAAATATTTTATACTGGGAGAACTCTGGTGCCCAGCTCCCAAGGCTCCCAAGGTTAAGTTTTTCCTTTGCCTTCCTCCTATTTATATCTTAACCCTGTTTTCACAGCACAACAAACATTTAGGAAGGGAAGATGTCATTATAGAAATATTACCATATTACACGTCTTCCTCGGCTTACGAGGGGTTACCTCCTTATAAACCCATCATAAGTTGAAAGTATGGTAAGTGGAAAACACATGTAATACATCTAATCTACTAACCAGCTGACCTTAAACATGTTCAGAACTCTTCACCTCAGCCTACGGTTGGCAAGATCATGTAACACAAAGCCTATTTTGTAATAAAATGTTGAATATCTCATGTAATATGTCGAATATTGTACAGAAAGGGAAATACATAATGGCTGTGTGGGTGCAGAATGGTTGTCAGTGTATTGGTTGTTTACCTTCATGAGCCTCTGGTTGCCTGGGGGGTGGGACTTGCTTCTCCTGCCCAGCATCGGGAGAGAGGATCCTGCATGCCACCGCTGGCCCAGGAAAAAGTCAGAATTTAAAAGTTGACCTCTGGGGGCGCCTGGGTGGCTCAGCCAGTTAAAGCATCTTACTTTGGATTTCAGCTCAGGTCATTATTTCACAGTTGTGAGATCAGGCCCCGCATTGGGCTCTGCCAGGCATGGACCCTGCTCGGGATTCTCTCTCTCCTTCTCCCTCTGCCCCTCCCCAGCTTGGCACACAGGTGCTCGCTATGTCTCAAAAAAACCCATTTTTTTGACCTATGGTTTCTGGTGCATCCATATTGCTTTCACACCACCATAAAATTGAAAATCATAAGTTGAACCATCGTAAGTCCGGGACCATCTGTGATATACCGTATATCACTCTATTATCTGTTTTTTTACTGTGTTTTGTTTTGTTTTGTTTTTTTGTTTTTGTTTTTTAAACAGCGTATTGAGATATAATTCATATACCATACACTTCACTCATTTAAAATATACAATTCACGGGGCGCCTGGGTGGCTCAGTCAGTTAAACATCCGACTTCGGCTCAGGTCATGATCTTGTGGTCCATGGGTTCGTGCGCCGTGTCGGGCTCTGTGCTGACAGCTCAGAGCCTGGAGCCTGCTTCGGATTCTGTGTCTCCCTATTTCTCTGCCTCTCCTCTGCTTGTGCTGTGTCTCTCTCTCTCTCTCTCTCAAAAATAAACATTAAAAGAAAAAAAAAAGAAAAAAGAAAATACACAATTCATCTTTTTCTAGTATATTCATACGATCATGCAGCCAGTCATCACGATCTAATTTTAGAACATTTCCATCGTTTCAGAAGGAAACCCCACACCCATTAAGCAGTCATTCTTCATTCCTGTGTCTCTCCCAGCCCCTGGCAACCCCTGCACTACCTTTCTTTGCCTGTCAGTTTGCCTGTTCTGGGCATTTCGTGAGAAGGGAATCATATAATATGTGGTGTTTTGTAACTAGCTTATTTAACTTAGCATGATGTTTTCAGGGTTTATCCACACTGTAGCACATATCATTCCTTTTCATGGTCAAATAATAGTCCATTATGTGGATATACCACATTTGGTTGATCTACCCATCTGTTGATGCTTCCACTTTTTGGTTATTGTGAATAATGCTGCTCTGAACATTCGTGTACAAGTGTTTGGGCGGATGTCTGTTTTCACTTCTCTTGGGCACACACTTAGGACTGGAGATGCCAAGTCAGGTGGTAATTCTGTATAAATCTTTTTGAGCAATTAGCAGACTTTTCCTGGCCAGCTTCACATTTCCACCAGCAGTGGGTGAGGATTCCAGTTTCTTCACATCTTTGTCAACACCAGTTATGGTCTTTTTTAATTTCATCCATTCTAGTAGGTGTGAACCATTGTCATATTGTGATTTTGATTTGTATTTCCCTGATGACTAGTGATGGTGAGCATCTTTTCATGTCCTTATTGGCCATCTGTGTATCTTTTTTTTTGAGATATGTTTATTCATTTGCTTTGCCCATTTGTAAATTGGCTCAGTTCTCTTTTTACTACTGAGTTGGGCGATTTTTTTTTTTTTTTTTTAAGTTTATTTTGAGAGAAAGAGCATGCACGCATGTTAGGGAGAGGCAGAGAGAGAATCCCAAGCAGGCTCCACACTGTCAGCACAGAGCCTGACTCAGGGCTCAAACTCAGAAACCATTAGTTCATGACCTGAGCCGACGGAGCCACCCAGGCGCCCCTAAGGTTTTTAAAAAAAATTTTTTAAGTGTTTATTTATTTTTAAGAGAGAGAGAGGGAGACAGAGCACAAGTGGGGGAGGGGCAGAGAGAAGGGGAGACACAGAATCTGAAGCAGGCTCCGGGCTCTGAGCTGCCAGCACAGAGCCCGACGTGGTGCTTGAACTCACGAGCAGCGAGACCATGACCTGAGCTGAAGTCGGACGTCCACTCAACCAGCTGAGCCACCCAGGCGCCCTTAAGATTTTTTTATAAGTTCTGGATACCAGTCTGTTATCAGTTATATGATTTGCAAGTATATTCTTTCATTCTGTAGATATTTTCCCTTTCTTTATGGTGTCATTTGAAATATGAATGTTTTTGAGAAGTCCAGTTTATCTGTTTTTCTTACGTTGTATGTGCTTTTGGTGTTGTAGCAAAGAAGACTTTGCCTGACCTAATTTCGTAAAGTTTAACTCCTATGTGTTCTTCTAGGAGTTCTGTAGTTTTACTGTTACATACAGGCGTGTAGTCCAAAGTAATTTTTGTATATGGTGTTATCCAAATTCCTCCTTTTGCATATAAGTATCCAGTCGTTTCAGTACCATTTGTTGAAGACTGTTCTCTTTCCATTTAATTGTCTTGACACTCTTGTTGAAGTCAGTTGACCATGAATGTAGGGATTAACCTTGGACTCCAAATTCGATTCCGTTTATCCTTATGTCAGTTCAGTCTATTCTTAGGTCAGTAGTACTCTGTCTTACTGAAGTTTGGATTCTGATTGGGTTGTATTGAATCTGTAGATGAATTTGGGGAGTATTGCCACCTTAATAATATAAAGTCTTTTGATCCATCCACATGAGATCTCTTTCCATTTACCTATATTGTTTCGTAGTTTCTAGCCTACATGTCTTATACTTCTTTTTAAAAAATTTTATATCTTAGTATTTTACACTTTGGGGTGCTATTGTAAATGGAACCGTTTTCTTAATTTCATTTTTGGAATTATTACTAATGTATAGAAGTACAAGTGATTTTTGTTTATTGATCGGTTTTGTATCCTGTCACCTTGGTGAATTTGTTTATTGGTTCTGAGTTTTCCAGTGAATTCCTTAGAATTTTCTTTGTGGAAAATCATGTCATCTACAAATAGAGATGGTTTTACTTTTTCATTTCTACTTTGGATGCCTTTTATTTCATTTTCTTGCCTAATTGCCCTGGTTAGAACCTTCAGTTCACTGTTGAATGGGACATACTCATCTTGTTCCTGATTGTAGGGAGAAAGCATTTAATCTTTTATCATAAAGTATGATGTTGTCTTTGGGTTACTTGCAGATGGCCATTACCGGGTTGAGCAAGTCCCTTTTTATTCCTAGTCTGTCGAGTGTTTTACAACGAAGAAGTGTTGGGTTTTGTCAGATCCTTTTTCTGCATCTACAGAGGTGATGATGTGGTTTTTATCCTTTATCGTATTAATAGAGTGTATTATGTTAATTGATTTTTGAATGTTAAACCAGCCTTGGTTCTTGAAATAAATCCCTCTTGGTCATGATGTGTGATTGTTTTTATATGTTGATGGATTCAAAAGGATCGTATGCAAATCCTTTTATATGTTGCTGGATTTTTATATGTTTGCAAATATTTTGTTGACGGTTTCCATGTCTGTATTCATTAGGGGTGTGGTCTGTAGCTTTCTTGTGATATCTTTGTCTGAGTTTGGTATCAGAATAATACTGACCTCAGAATAAGTTGGGACGTGTTCCTTCCTCTTCTGAGTTTTAGAAGAGTTTGTGAAATATTGGTATTAATTTTTTCTTTGGATGTTTGATATACTTTACCAGTGAAGCCCTGTGGCCTGGGCTTTTCTTCAGGGGAAGCTCTTTAATTACGAATTCAGTCTCTACTTGTATAGAGGTCCTGAGTTTTTATTTCTTGTTGAGTCAGTTGTGGTAATCTGTGTCATTTAGTAACTTGTTTTACTTACCTAATTTGTGGGCATACAGTTGTTTGTATATTCCCTTATAATCTTATTTATTTTGTGAGATCAGTGTGTTTTCCCTTCTCTTCACGCCTTATGTTCGTTATTTAAGTTCCCTCACGCCACCCCCCCTCCTTTTTTTTTGGCCAGGAAAAGATGTGTCAATTTAGTCAAACCAGTTTTTGCCTTTGGAGTATATATTACTTTTTTAAATTCATTCATCAAATATTTATCAAATCCTAGCTATACACTTGCAAGCAAAACAGACATGTTTTCTCCTTTCTCCAGACTCAGTCGAGTGGGAAGTGTAGACATTGAACAAGCAAGTGGACAGTTGTCATAAACACCGTGAAGGTGACAAGTGGGGTGCTGTGAGAGGTGCCAGGAGCTGACTAGATCAGGTGACCAGGGTGGAGCTCTGGGGAGGTGACGTGTAACTGAAATGGAAGATGGGGAGGCACCGTCACTTCAGAGGGAGACTACGGGCCTGCTGGGGGGGGCGGGGTGGGAGGTTCTATGGAGAATACTACAGATGATGGAAAGAGATAAACTGAGGCCCCACTGCCCTGGGGCGGGAGTAGGTAAAGAAGAAGGTGTGGTTGGTAAGGGGGGTGGGAC